TCTCTCTCCTTCTCTTTGCATTTTTTTCGAACAAAAGAAAAAACCCGCCGATGCCCCCAATATATTAAACTACACCGTCCATCACCACGAATCTTCGAATGGGACACTCCGAATCGCAAATCTGCTTCTACCGTCCACCAGGAAAATAATATTATCGATAAAAATAATAAAGAACTTAGCATTAACAGAAACGATTAATTACATAATATACATTTGTTACATGATTTGTTATTTTTTGCAATTGGTGGTATCGACAAAATATTACAATACTTTACAAACATTATACATATACTACGACTTGGCCGAGTCCGCTCCAACAACTCACGAAATTGACAATCGTGTAAATTCATGTGGATTTGGACGGATCCAGCGCAATGCGTGATATATTTATTTACAATAGAAAGAACCCTGTAGTATTATTATTTTTTTTTGTATATAAAAATTACTATATATAAACATTACTTTTTTCTCTTTATTTAATATACAATTATATATATATAGTGACAGTGGAGGTAGAAACAATGTTGCAGACAAGAGTATCCCAATTGGCGCTATGCGAATGATCAATATTTATATATATATATAGCACATATATATAACAATTTCTTTGTTTTCTAAGTACAAAAGTGGTAATATTTTACATGATTATACAACTATCAAACATTTTTTTTTTATATAAATACAATTTAATATTCGGTTAACATATATACATATCACGTTGATTCGGGGTCATTCGGTAGGTTTCGTGTCGGATCAAAAATATTATTATTATTATGTGTTTTTTTTTTCTTTCTTTCTTTCTCCTCGTATCAACGAGACGCATATGATCAAGAAACTATAAGAACTTAACTTTAGAACACTCTTTTTCCTTACTGTGGCAATTTCAATTAGCTGTTTGGAAATGGATTTTTTTTCTTTTCTCAATTTACCTTTGTTATATCTTCCTTTTTTTTATACGTCTTCATATATGAATTATGAACAAAACTATATTACATATAATACAAAAAAACGATAATATATGTACACATGTGTAGGATATTAGAAGGGGGCGCACATCTCGTTAGTTTTAAAAATAATGAAATGAAAAGTAGTGACAACAAATGAACGAACATAACTTTCGACGTGTAACTCGATTGCATTAAGTATAAATAATTCTGTTACCGTTATACAATTCGGGAAAAATATGTGCAATTAGAAAATGTACATTTAAGAAGATTAATTTTATGCAGAGTGCAACAATATACTCTTGTATTTTATCAATGTATTTTTCACGTTGAAAACACACACTCACAAAAGAAAAGTTGTAAAAATCGATTTAAAATTAAAAACGAAAATAACCAAAATTATAATTGCATTGTTCGAGATGAAATTAAGAGGCGTAATTATAAAAAAAGTAAAATTAATGGAATTTCTTTAAGCGATTGACAAAATATAAGAGTAATTGGGTAATTGATTGAATAGTAACACAAGTATAACGAACCTTCTATCCCTAATATATTTTTTCGCTTTAATTTGTATTTTTTTTCCTTTCTTTAAATATATACTTGATTTCTTCATCCATTACGATTCTAAAGTACAATTTTTAAAATTTCTAAAAAAGTGTTATTTTTAAAGGTTACAATTGTGTAATTTGCATGCGTTTATTTACTTTAGTTTTTTTTTTAATATACTTTAAAAAATCTCGAAATCAAAGAGAATTCACTTCGATTACGTTCATTTGCTACTTGAGAACATACACCTTACGACAAAACGAATAGTTGAATCACTCACTATATATATTTACCATTGCTATACCAAAAAACATGAATTTCCAACAACACGTAAATTGAATTAGTTGTTAAATAAACAAAGAAAAAGAATCATTTACTTAGTTTATATTATTAAAAAAGAACAAAGTGAATAAAATAACATAAACTGATAAAAATGCATAGTATTCTTTTCTAAATAAAATAATTATTTAATGTTACATGATGTGTACGTGCGAAATATGTGGATGTGTGTGTCTGTGTGTGTGTTGTGTAAGAAGGCGGTTTTACAGTCTATGAAAGGTAATTTCGTCACGGATGATTTTTTTTTACAGAAAAGATGAATTGTGTCTTCGTGTTATTCTTTTATTTATTTTTTTTCACTTTCAGAACTATTCCTGAGGATTCGATATCACAATATTAATGTCAGGATAATCTGTGTGGAACATATTTTTTTTTGTTTCGCTCGGATATAACAGTACATGCTTTCTTCTTCAAGTTATTTACATCGATTCAGTTTATGAAATTATTAAATCCAAATTCGCGAGGCAAATAACAATAACGAAGGCTGCAGGAAATCAGCAACGCGAGCGTTTGTTTCTGTTGTTTGTATATAGTTATCTTGAACTGACCATGTTTTCTGTTTCATTTCGACTCGTATTTACTGCATTAGATAAAAAAAATGCAAACTTAACACATTGTGACCACAATTGAGAAAAATGAAGATTTTTTGAAGAATAAAAAAAAAGAAGTGTTAATTAGGAGTAGGAGATGCGCAACTATATATAAATACCTCTATAATACAATTAATATATATATATACCATATTTCACGCTAACCTTAAACTAAAAATTATAATTATAGAAATTAATAAACAAACGTTAAATGAAAGTTATTAATATGCTTAAAAAGTTGAACAGAAAAGAAGGCGTAACGATAAAAAAAATAAATGAAATACTGGTACCCCGCACTTAAGACTTCAAAGTGCGATTGGTCAAACAAAAAAAATATTATATGTATATTATAGAAAAAGAAAAAAAGTATTTGCAAAATGTATAGCCTTAATACAAGAAAATAATAATAATTGGCGCAAATAAAAATTGAAAAAAATGAATTTAAATTAAATAGTTTTTTTCTTTTTTTTTCTTTCTTAATTTTGTTTTGTTTGCTGATGTTATATATTCCTTATTTGCGTTCATTAAAGAACGCCGTTGGTGGGTGGGCCAATTGGGCCAAGCTCACCACCCATTGAACCCATCGAGCCAGGGGTTTTCATGAAGAACTTTTCCAGCTTGGCGATAATATGTTTACCGTAAGTATACTTACGGAGAGAATTTAAATGCGGCCGGATCTTGTGCATTAAAACCTTTCGCTGCGTTGGTTCACTGACGTCTATCATCTTTTGAACAACGTAGTTTGCGTATTGGTCTTTCATCATTACATGCAGAGCACTAAACGGAAAGTAAATAGTGTTAAAATTTAAATTTTTAAAAAATGTTTTTTTTTTCTTCTTCAGAAAACAAGGTGATTACTTACTTATCGTTGAATCCGCACACTTCTTCGATTAGTACAGCACGTTCGTTTCTCGTAGCGTGTGTCACGCATTTTTCTACCACATTACTGGCAAACTTATGTTGACTCAACACCAGAACCTTTCCGCGGACACTGGTGATAAGTTGCGATTTATCTTCAGGCTTACCATGTTCTGTAAAAAAAAAATGCGCCAGGATGTTAGAATTGAAATTAATAATTGAATGCGAATTTTAATAGCGTACCGAGGACATGTTGGATGACGTAATTTCCAAATTGATCTTGAATCAATTGATCGGTGTGAGTGTGAAGCTCAGCTAGAATTGGTGCAGTTTGTTCTGGCGTGCAATGCTCCAAAATGCGTTGAATTACTCGGCAACCGTATGGATGTGTAGATAGGCTGTAAACTTGACCGACGAACGATTGAATGACAAACTGTTGGAAGGAAAGATGTTATTAGATATATTCTATTTCTCCTGCAATTATAATGATAACTTACCTGTAGAGCATTCGGATCGACACATTCAATACATTTTTGAACAACATGGTTACCATTTTGATCTTTAACGCATTTCAAGACATGCCCGTCGAGTTCTCTAACAATTTCTTGCTGCTGTTCTGCCGGTATAGACTCCAACGCCTTTTGAATTACGCGGCAACCGTACATTTGCAAAGCTAACGGCAATACGTTGCCCCTAACTTTCTGAGCTAACGTAGTCTTCTGTTCCGGTGTACCAAATTCGAAAAATTTCTGAATGACATAGTTCCCGAATACATCAGTCATCAAGTTATAAGCGGCGGACAAAATCTCGTTGAAAACCATTTGCTTTTCCGCCGAAGAGGCGCGCTCGAGCTTCTGTTGTATGAATCTGGAACCATGTTGATCTTGCGAAAACTCGACAATATGATTTGCAAGGTCACGCAACTGTAAGTTCGGGAATCGATTATTCCTGAAGTCTTCCAATAGTCTGGAACGACCTTGGGTGCCCTTATCTAATGAACTAGCTACACCGGTCAAAGAAGAGATCTTATTGAAAAGTGAATTGTTGGAACCAAATATTGCGTTTGTAGTTAAACCAGCAGCTACAGTATTTCTATATTTGGCTTCAGCACCTGGGGCGGCAGAAAGAACGCGCGAATTGACCAAATTGCCCAACTGCAAGGGTGCAGTCGGCGGTGGAGTTAGTGAGCCAGTTATAGGACTCGGACTTCCGCCCAATCCATAGGAAGCAGGCCATTTCGGTCTGTATTCAAGGGATGGCGAGAATGCGGATGTGTTCCTATCGAAAGAGTCACGCCGTCCAGTTGTCGTCGATGTCAGGCCTAAACCTATTGCAAATATACACCATTAATTAAAACGTTTAAGTTATTAGATTTGTATTTAATTAGATGAATGATGAAATTAGTATGTACCTGAATGCAAAGAAGTTGTAGTAGCGGCTGAAGAGCCGATGGTGCCAAGCGAGGAACTGCCGAATTGGGCAGAGGGGGGCGCGTGCAATGTTGGGAACAAACCTGAACCCACCCCTTGGGCCACACCTGAACCCACACACACCACAAATAAGTTAGTAAACATCATGATTAATGAAATAGAAAACAATGAACATATATATTTACAGGTATTACATATTGATGTTCAATGAGATGCAAAGCAAAATATGAGAATACCTGCATATATAAATATGTATATATAGTCAGCTTAACTCACTTAACTTACGAACTTTTAACTGTATATACATATAAATATATTTAAAAAAAAAACATCTCTCTCAAGCTGATCGATTGATAACCAATGATATAAAACTGCATCATTTCAAAATAGCATGCCCACAAGCATGGTGTTTGCGTTATATGTATATATTATGTACAAAAATATTAGTGAATGAACGAATAAATATAGATTTATTTACCTCCAAGTGTTGTTCCATTCACTGATGTATTGACATTGGCTCCATATAGACTTTGAGGAGTACTCGAGTAAAGAGATGCTGCCGGTGTCTGTCTGGAAGCTTGAGGTTGCACAAGAACTGGAGCTGGTGAGACAAGACGCATTGGCGTGCCATTTCGCATAGCTGCGCCCTGTGCCATAAGGATAGGAGCTGCATTTTGGTCATAATAGGGTACGATGTATCCAGGAACTTGGGGTTGCACTTGCTGTTGGGATTCAGCGGTGCCGTTGGGCGTAAGTGGCCGACGAGCACCGTTGCTGGCACCCTGCTGTATAAGGTTTGCAGGTGCCGGATAAACCCATGGACCGACTCCATAATATTGAGGTGCAGGTATTAGATATGAGGTTTCTTGCTGGGTGTTCACTAAGTATGGTCCAGCAGCTTGGGGAAATGCGGCCGCCTGTTGCTGCTGCGCGAGATACTGTTGTTGCTGTTGCTGCAAGAGCTGCAATTGTGCTGGATTCGGGGTGGCGGCTTGAGTTTGCTGTGATCGAAATAATTGCTAGAAAACACACACAAAAAATAATACACATTAATATAATTGCAATAAATAAATAATTAATTATAAATTTCAAAATTATTGGGTAGATAGCACCAGCACCATATGGGGTAAATATTTGTTTTGATAAAAAAAAGGCATATGCTCATATATTTGTTTTGTTACGCATTGTAAGTGGCAGACTAGAAAATGCGACGAATTTATATCTGCGATACGAAAATATATATAAACGCGTTAGAAAAATTATAACCGGATCCAATTCCTCTCAGGCTTTAAATACACCAAAAGTTTCAAATATTTACAATAAACATACGGCGGGCTATTCGATTTTAAATACCGACATTTTAACAGTTCATTATATGCAACTTCTATTTTAAACCGCCATTAAAAGGAAGAAAGAAATGGTCGGAAAACTCCACGGCGCATTTATTTTAGTCAATGATATAATAGGTTAATAATGGGTAAATATTAAAATGTTATTTTAGCAAAAGCGAAATGTCTCTTGCTGGCTCTGTACACTGATTCCATGTTTATTACATTTACATTTTTGCAAAACAATCACACAATTCTTTATGCCAGAAGGAATTCTCTGATTTGAGAATTTTGTAAATTGGATTGCAGCAGACATAATGAATAGAAATTTTGTAAAGTGGGCAGGACCAGTCATTACTATGTCGTTAGAGGTTAGGTGGTTACTTAAAATACCGTCTCATATTACCTAAAGTTATAGGTGAAAGGAAATTGATCTAGATAAATAAAATGAGAGAAATTAGAGACGCGTGCTTTGTGAGCTAATTTATTCACCACCTACAAAACGTTTAAATATTAAACACGCATAAAAGCAACTAACAATCAATCACTATAATATACTATATATTTTGCAGAATTTTTAACGAACAAACAATTTTGAATACGGTTCAGCAAAAACGTATTGATAATTGGTATTTTTTTTACATGCGTCGAGTTCATTCAGGTTTATATAAATATAGGAAATGTTGTAGCGCAAGCGTTCTTCGCCAGGGCGAGGTCACTTTCATTGAACAGTACTTGCAATTACATTAACGAAGACTTATTTGCATAATTTTATGTTTTTAGACATCATATAAAGTTGATGTTAACTTTACATGGTGTCTGAGAACGAAACATCTTGACTGAACTTGAAAAACATAATTACTAATGATGTCTGGGGCTATGTATGGTCAATCATCATTCACCCACTCATTTCTTTATAAATATGTAAATATATTTTAAACAGATTATTTATTATTATATTTGATCACCATTTTTAGTTAGAGAAACTAATCTTACAATTAATTGGATGATCTAAATCAGTACGATCGGAATGCCCAAAGGCGTAGAAAATGTGATCCAAATCTTGTTAACGGATTCTTAATTAAGTGATTTAAATGTTGTTTTACGCGTAAAAGTAGTGACCAAACCCAGTCAGTTTATACAATATACATTGAGCGTTGGCCACGGATCATAAAATAAAAACCAATTAAAATCTAGTCCACTTTTTCTTCCTAGTCTAATTACTAGTTTTTGTTCTATTCAAAATTGGAAGTCGAACTAACAAACAAAAAAAAAATGGAATGGCGTGGTAGTATGTCGAGAGGTATGGTGGTCAATCAGGAAATGAACGGCTCGAATCGAATAGCAGTTTCAGTCGTGACTCTTGATAAGCAGGACACTACTGCTTATTAGATTTGTGACGTGGAGCTGTATATAATCCGCTCTTAGAAAAAGGTCTCTACCATTTTAGAAGGGAAACTTATATAAAATTAAGGATCCTATGATACACTTACGAAAACACAATTTTATAACATGCGTTTGTAATTAATTATAATTTTTTAGTCTTAGTAAAGTTTCTCGCTTTGAATGCGCTCAGATTAAACTTGAACTTGCTGCTGCTTCTCAACACAACGGCGACGGCAGCACGTTTTGTGATGCAATTACGTAATTCGCTAGCCTCGCTGTGTTCAATGAGAAGTCTTTTTTTTTCTTTTTCGCTTCTACGTTGTTGCAAGATTAAATCTAGAATCATTTGTAGACTTTGCGGTCGGATTCTAGGGTAAATACGCACTCGAGAGAAATTCTTGAGAAAATCCTTTCAAAAAAATGAATGGTCCGCATGGGATCGGCAGAACGTTATATGTGTATGATGCAATGTTATTTAATCCCCGAAGTGTTTGACCGTATTGCGGGTGTTAACACTATAGGTCTTGCAAAACAAACGCAAAGAACGTTAATCTTTAGTTCGTTTAAGTGCGAAATGAAGAGAAGAAAAAAAGCAGACAGCAGAGCTAATATAGAAAAGAAGGAACTGAGTGGTACCGATGTGGGGCAAACGCGAGTAACGGATCTCCACCGGGTCGTTACACCTTATCTTTGGTCACTCTTCGTCGAGTTCAGCGGAGTTCATTTGCTGATGGCCGCAGGAATAAAAAGCTTACTTTAACATCTCACCAGGTTTCGTGGAAAACCAATCAGAATTATATGCAACAATATTGATTCCGACGACCGTACAAAAATAATATTTATACAATCTTTTCTCGTGATCGTAAGCTATCAGAAGAACGAAAAAGTTTTATTTCTTTGTTTCCCATGAATGCATAAAAATAGATGGCAACTGTAATAAAGTTTAAATTATTTTCGAAAACGCCAGCGACACGATTACTACTGTTTTTTAGACAACGAAACAAATTTGATTCCATAAATATATCCGTAAATAGAAAAAACTTAATTGAATTTGGTGCAAATAAAAATCGATTATGATTTGTTTCACTTGTTCCACTGCACGTTATTTAAGCATTCAAAGGCAATCCACACTTTCTTAGAATTTCAAGTCTCATTTTTGTGGGTGTTCGGGTGCTCTGGAGTGTAACGCGCGGTAAAAGTTGGACAGTATCTTTTCCAGATAAAATCGCGTGTTACGCTAGTCGAAGCATTGCATAAAAATTGTGCGTGTATATAAATTACATTGTCGTCGCAACTGCATGTGTCTGTATAATATAGTACTGGCAATACGTATCAGCAAGTAAAGTGTTTTTTTTTGGAATGCAAATACCAATAATCTTAACTATGTTCACTAATGTTTACCTTTCTGTTAATCTCACTAAATTACCGAATATAGAAATTACTAATTATTTGCAAATAAGTAATAGCAGGGGAATGCGTACGAAATATAGAGCACATTGAAATATGAATTAAGTCACTATATTTGGATCGGGCATTTTTTTTATTTATCAGATAGTTATAATTCACTTTCTTCGGACTTTCAAATTTTGTCTGTGACCATTGCGCAACACAAACACATTTATCAAGCGTGGACGTATCAGACAGACGTATCCATTGTTAAGTAAGCCAAATTATTAATCACTAATTAAATGTCCCACCTTTAATGGAAATATATTTACTCAGGCGTTCCACGTCATTAATGTACCCGGAGATATTGATTTGTATGTCAAACATAAAATGGAAAACTCGTTCGGTTTTATGAACGGATGTTTTGATAGTCGAGCCTCGCTTCTAAATGTATTACATTTTTTTTCCGCTACCCTGCAATACAGTATATCACGAGCCGCACCCAATGCGCTATCATTGTTGAATAATACTTTTTTTATTTAATTAAACTGCAGCAGCAGTTAAAGTAATTGAAGATTGAGCATTCTGTTTTTTTTTACACGCAGGAAAAAGCTCTTCGACGGCCTTGGTAAAAGCACAAAACGCAATTTCCTTACTGCAGACGCCCACACCTGAAAATAGGTGTGTTCAAACTAGATCCTGGTTTTGCTTTCTTTTTCTGGCCCAGACTAATCTATCTAGTTATACGCTTAGTGCTGGCTATTTTTTTTTCGTCACGTATAATTTCGTGCACTATAAATTAGTCTGAAACGTAATAAATTCTAAACAAAACATATTCTCGAGGAAGCATCTCAGTATTTTTATTTTCTCGTAGCCTTTCGGACATGCGAATGCAAATCCTACGGAAAAGTGTGTTAGTGGGAGAGAAGTAGGTCTCAAAACCGCGAAAGCTCGCCGCAGACTCATGGAAAGAAAATTACCGTAAAAAGAAATATTAAACAGAGAACAATCAGTCGTAGGTCTTTTAATTTTTTTTTGTTTATGCATGTGGTTACCATTGTATGCTGTATTCAAACAAATATTTAACAACAAAAAAAACTAACTGTTTTTGGCATTACGCGAAGCGGTGGAGTGGTTTGGTGAACGTAATCTTAAGAAAACGCCCGTCGCCGAAGTTTCATACATTTTCACTGTCCCTCATAAATTATAACTTGTTGCAACGGAGCGAAATTTATTTCCACGAAAATAAACTTTTCCGGGGCATTTTTCTCGTTTGCCCGAGGTCTCTCCGCATGTGCTATTTAACATAATAGCAAACATATTTTATGAATAAATAAATTTCTTTCATCAAAATGAAAATACCAAACGTTGCACGCGTCTTCATCCCATTTTCACAGCATCCTTTCCAACTGTATATACGATCAATTTCTAATAAATACCAGTTTGTTACGATAGAAATATATCAAATAACAAGTAAATCACGAAATATGATATACATATTTGCATCGAGGAAACGCATTTTATAAACCGATATTATTATTTTTTTTAAGCGAATATTTCTGGTATAATAAAATATAACGATTATGCATTACGTATCCTTATGAATTGGCAAGGAGTTTTCATTTGAATAATAATAATGGTTATTATTGCTGCAGCTCACTTCCTTCATTTATTTGATACAAAATTTATAATAACAATCTTTATTGGAAATCAACGTCAATGCAATTTATACGCGGCAATATTTAATAAAGTGTACCGCAAAATATATATTTCCTCGTGCCTACCCTTTTTCAATCGCATTATAGATAAGGGCGGAACGGCGTAATCTAATTCGTTTCTTATTTAGTCAGGAAATGATTGGGTTACCAGTTGCAGCTGGAGGATTGGATCAATTAACTTTGTCGAAGTAAATTCTTTCT